TGAGTCCATTACCCGTCAAATAAAGTTCCAGCCGGAGATAATGACCAAAGGTGAAAAACTTGTTGATGCTGGACATGTGAGAGAAGTCAAGGAACATCGACGAAAGTTTTTTAATAAAATCTCGAATTATTCGACAAACATCAGTCTATGCTAAACCATATGCTACATCTGTAGACCTAATGCACCTTTAGATAATTCATTTCTTATCTTCTATTTATATATATAACTAGTTGGTTTAGTATTTAGCCTTGAGGCAAGTTACATGAACTTCCCGATATGTGTAAATAATTGACTTAATCAAAAAAAGTGTAAATAATATACTTCATCAATCCTACTTAAAAAAAACGAAAATAATTTTAGAAAAGTTTGACGAATTTTTAAAATTAAACTACTTGTCGTAAGGCCGTAATATTACAGTAAGTTCTATAAGACCATGATGTATATCGCCAAAAAAAGTTCCATGAAAATCGGCTTAAATTTTTTTTTCAACAGTTAATTACAAGAAAACGGCTCGGTAGATTTTCACCTAAAATTAATCAGTACCATTCCCAACTAATATCTTTCGAACAGTTTTTGATTTTTTAAAATCGGTTCGGTAGGATGAGCTTAAATGTGGACGAAAAGTTTAACACTTTTTTCAACAGTTAATTACAAGAAAACGGCTCGGTAGATTTTCACCTAAAATTAATCAGTACCATTCCCAACTAATATCTTTCAAACAGTTTTTGATTTTTTAAAATCGGTTCGGTAGGATGAGCTTAAGTGTGGACGAAAATTTAACACTTTTTTTCAACAGTTAATTACAAGAAAACGGCTCGGTAGATTTTCACCTAAAATTAATCAGTACCATTCCCAACTAATATCTTTTGGACAGTTTTTGATTTTTTAAAATCGGTTCGGTAGGATGAGCTTAAATGTGGACGAAAATTTAACACTTTTTTTCAACAGTTAATTACAAGAAAACGGCTCGGTAGATTTTCACCTAAAATTAATCAGTACCATTCTCAACTAATATCTTTCGAACAGTTTTTGATTTTATAAAATCGGTTCGGTAGGATGAGCTTAAATGTGACGAACGAAAATTTAACACTTTTTTTCAACAGTTAAATACAAGAAAACGGCTCGGTAGATTTTTACCTAAAATTAATCAGTACCATTCCCAACTAATATCTTTCGAACAGTTTTTGATTTTTTAAAATCGGTTCGGTAGGATGAGCTTAAATATGGACGAAAATTTAACACTTTTTTCAACAGTTAATTACAAGAAAACGGCTCGGTAGATTTTCACCTAAAATTAATCAGTACCATTCCCAACTAATATCTTTTGAACAGTTTTTGATTTTTTAAAATCGGTTCGGTAGGATGAGCTTAAATGTGGACGAAAATTTAACACTTTTTTTCAACAGTTAACTACAAGAAAACGGCTCGGTAGATTTTCACCGAAAATTAATCAGTACCATTCTCAACTAATATCTTTCGAACAGTTTTTGATTTTATAAAATCGGTTCGGTAGGATGAGCTTAAATGTGGACAAAAAGTTTAACACTTTTTTTCAAATTGCAAAGAAACGGCTTGGCAGATCGTCGCACAAAACTGCCAAACGATAGTGCTCACCGAAATACATCAAATGGCTTTTAAATTTTCAAAATCGGTTCAGGCGTTTTTGAGAAAACGTCGATCAAAAGTCTAATTTTGACAAATGCCAAAAAAACAATACCAATGTTTGCAAACTTTGACGAATTTTTAAAGCTGAACCAGTTGTCGTAGGGCCGTAATATTTTAGTATGATCTAGAAGACTATGGTATCTACTGTCAAAAAAATAATCATGAAAATCGTCGAAATTTTTTTTTTTAAAACTTTATTACAAGAAAACGGCCCGGCCGATCTCTACCAAAAACTAATCAGCACGATTCCCAATCAATATCTTTCGAACGGTTGTTGAATTTTCTTAATCGGTTCAGAATTGCGGGCTAAAACGTGCACGAAATTTGTTATTTTTCTGCTATTTATAAAGAAACGTCTCGGCCGATCGTCCCACAAAACTGACAAAGGATAGTCCTTGTCGAGAGGCATCGAATGGCTTTTAAATTTTTGAAATCGGCCCAGCCGTTTTCGAGAAAACGTCGATTTACGGCAAAAAATCTGTTCACACACACATACACACACACACACACACACATACTTTTTCCAAATTTGGTCTCATTCGATTCAGAATGGCTTGAAACGTCGAGAAAACATAAAATTAGAGAATCGGATTTTTTGATGAAAACATAAACTTCTCCTTCGGGAAGTTAAAAATAAGTCGGGTTTTCCTTTCTGACAAAATAACTCCAGAACGCACGAATCGATTTCGACAATTTTGCATTCGTTGGAAAGGTCTCGGGCTCCGCAAGGTTTATAGCTAAGAAAATTAGTGGTGCATGGCATCGTGCCCTAATGCAAATTGCTGAAACTTCACGCACCGTAATTAAACATTCGAGTGATAAAAATAATCAATAATTGTTTTAAATAATTAAAAATAGATTATCTTCTATATATATATATATATATATATATATATATATATAGCGGAATCAACACGCTCACATATGACACATGTCAGTTGATTTACGCAAATGGAATTATATATCAAGCAAGCTTAGCGATCTGATTGTTTTTATAAGATGGATTATTATGGTCGCGCTTTTTAAAACGATCAAAAAAATATTGTATCGAGTTTTTTGCCAACAAGCGTTTTCTCTTGATCGAAATTTAGATTTGATGTAATGTAATATCAACATCTTTATCAATTGAGACATTAATAAACAATCATTATCGAGTTGAAATAAAATTATTGCGATTTCATTCAAGAATTAATTTATTAATAATATATGGCCCACTAGCGCCATAATTGTCAAGACATATTTTGAAGTAAAAAATATAAATTGAAGTCTCAAGAATTATTAAGAAAAGACTTTTTAAAAATATAAATAATTATTATAAATGGCTCACAACTGCCATAATTCGAAGAGCATTCTAAGCATACAACTGAGACTCCGACCACGCACTTCAAGATCAATAACAACACGTGCTCAATAAATCACTTATTATCATGGTAAATAAGTCGATTATAAGCACCATGGCAACAGACAGGGAGCACCAGCAATCATAGGCAACCGCCACTCAACCGCTAACTCACCAGCGAAGGGCCACATACACTCAACCGCTAACTCATCAGCGAAGGGCCACATACACTCAACCGCTAACTCACCAGCAAAGGGCCACATACAATCAACCGCTAACTCACCAGCGAAGGGCCACATACAATCAACCGCTAACTCACCAGCGAAGGGCCACATACACTCAACCGCTAACTCACCAGCGAAGGGCCACATACACTCAACCGCTAACTCACCAGCAAAGGGCCACATCTACTCAACCGCTAACTCACCAGCGAAGGGCCACGTAAGCGATCAACAAACTCAACAAGCCAACACGGCATTCAAAACGGCCACGGCCACAAACAAATAAAATTTATCACATAATCTCAACCAAAAGAAATTTACAAGGAAGTTCAAGAATGGCAGTCAGAGATACAAAACAATCTTTTTCATTAGGGCGGAGTGATATAGCGGGTTGTCAACACGCATCGCGGCTCGTCAACACGCATCACATGTCTACTGGACAGATAGGCCCATTTAGTGACAGCACGGAGAAAAACAAAAATAAATTCAAGTGTCAGATCGTACATGGTTTTTGTTTCTCCCTAGTCGAATTTGCCAAAATGTATAATTTTTGAAACCTTTCTTTTCAATTATAAATAAGAAAATACCAATAACGTTTTATTAACGATCAGTGTGACAACACATAGTGTCGTGGATATTAATCATATATAAAATAAACGAAATATAAGTAATATTTTATGGAATTTATTATGACTACAATTGGTATTAATATGGAGGACTACTACAATTAATAATCCGTAATTACTACAATTTGGAACAATATGGTATTAATTACGGAACACCAGAACACTTCCATATTTTGGGTATCGAGTTTTTTGCCAACGAGCGTTTTCTCTTGATCGAAATTTAGATTTGATGTAATGTAATATCAACATCTTTATCAATTGAGACATTAATAAACAATCATTATCGAGTTGAAATAAAATTATTGCGATTTCATTCAAGAATTAATTAATTAATAATATATGGCCCACTAGCGCCATAATTGGTGACTCCGAACGTGAGTGAAATCGGTAAAACAACAGACATTCTCAACGTCTTAGTTCCCATAATTGGTGACGTCGGACGGAGAAAGGAAAACACTTGTCAAATACAAGTAAATTAACGAAGGTAAATTATACCAATTTTTATCAACATGTCGACTCGATCTACGTCCATCAATGACGAAACAGCGCTCAACAGATCTCTGATCGATCTGGATCACGAGGCGATCTTTAACACTAGCAATCCTCGTATTTCTGAACATGAACATGACAGTTATGCTGATCAATACAATATAGCAGCATTTAACAATCACCGTCTCACTCCATTCAATGGAGATTCTCCAGACCTATGGCTTTTAGTAATTGAATATGAGTTTCAGTCTGCTAGGATCAGGAGTGACGATACTAAGTACACAGCAGTACTCAAAGCCCTAGACTTCGAGACACTGCGCCTCATCCAGGATGTCCTCCGTAATCCACCAATGACAGGCAAATACGAATATATCAAAAACACTATATTAAGCAGAATGTCTGAATCTAGAGGTAAGCAAATTGACAAGCTATTAAAAAACTTAACTCTAGGACAGAAGAAACCATCACAGCTCCTACGAGAAATGATGAATTTGGCTAAGGGAGAGGTCAGTGAAGACATCATAATTAAATTGTGGTCAGAACGCCTGCCACACCATATTCGGCCACAACAAACTGATAGTTTCTCGTCATCTTGGTCCGGAAGCCCTGGCGGAAGTTGCCGATATTTTGGTCGATCACTGTAGCCCCACATCACATGTGATGTCCACAACACACAAGTCTTCAGTAGAACAGAGACTGGACCGCCACGAAACTCTGCTTATGTCATGCGTCCAGGAAATTAAGGAATTAAGGGCAATGTTAAACACTGAAAGACAGAAGAATGATCAACAAGAATCACAACTCAACCAGTATAGATCAAGAAGTGAACAACTCAATCAGTCAAGTTCTAGAAGTGGTTCTCGACATAGGTCCAGGACACCTTCACGTGGATCGGTTTGCTACTATCATTATAGATATGGGGAGAAGGCTACAAAGTGTGAAGAGCCCTGCCTGCTTAAATCTCTAAACCAGTCAAAAAACTTACTTCACCGTCATTAATTGGAGCTTGCCATGACGGTGAAGTAAATTCTGTCTGTTCTGAGCTCCGTCTTCATATATCAGACAGAAAGACGGCAATCCAATTTCTTATAGATTCAGGATCTGTTATATCCATTTTACCAGCTCAGAAGTTTGCCAATGGTCATTCTAAGGAAGAGTTAGTTCTTTTTGCAGCAAACTCTAGCAGAATTTCCACGTATGGCAAGAGAACTCTGGAGCTGGATTTATCACTACGCAGAAGCTTTAGCTGGCAGTTTGTTGTTGCCGATGTGGCGACAGCCATAATAGGAGCAGATTTCCTGAGCAACTACAATCTATTGATAGACTTGAAGGGCAGAAGATTGATTGATTCGACCACAGGCCTTACCTCTGATGGAAAGGTACTCAAGGCACAGCAATTCAACATCTCCACTGTTAACCCGGCAGAGCCTTTCAAGGATTTACTGGCACAATACATCGCTATAACAAAGCCACAGGTAACCACCAATAATAAATCATCTCTTTTTGCCCACAGGATAACCACAACAGGTCCACCATTAGCTTCAAGATTCAGGAAGATCTTCGGAGAAAAGGCTGTTGCAGCCAGGTCCGAGATACAAGATCTCCTGAATAGGGGCATTTTGAGGCCTTCCAACAGTCCATGGGCAAGCCCTATTCACATGGTTCCTAAAAAGAATGGCACATTCAGAATGTGTGGAGACTACAGGAGGCTGAACGCAAACACGTTGCCCGACAGGTATCCTCCACCATTAATACAAGATGTTTTCAATAATCTTCATCAGAAAGCAGTATTTTCTACAATAGATTTAGAAAAAGCTTACCACCAAGTACACATGCATGAAGAGGATATACAAAAGACTGCAATTATCACACCATGGGGACTCTTCGAGTATCTACGTATGCCATTTGGACTCAAAAACGCTGCCCAGACATTCCAGAGGTTTATCAATCACATATTCCAAGATTTCAATTTTGTTTACATTTATATAGACGACATCCTGGTCATGTCGACTGATATGAATGAGCACCGTAGTCATCTTCAATTGGTTTTTGAGAAGCTACAGGAATATTCACTCACAATCAACTTAGAGAAATGCGCCTTTGGAAAAGATGAAGTTAACTTCCTCGGGTACAAACTGAGTGCTGCAGGATATTCTCCTTCACCAGACCGAGTAGAGAAAATTATTAATTATCCAAAACCTTCGACAGTTATAGAACTCAGAAGATTTTTGGGCATGGTAAACTATTATCGTAAATCAATACCCAAAGCAGCAAATATACAAGCACCACTTTATGAGTATGTGAAGTCCTCACAAGGAGAACCCGCGCATTGCTCGTCTGGGATTTTGATAAAATTTGGCACAATGGTAGATTTCATGCCCAAACTGACTCTGGTAAAATATTAGAGGCCTATGAAAAGCGGTTTAATTATAAATATTAATTAAAATTTGCATTTAAGCAGCGCACTGTACACTATCGGTACACATAGCATGGAGCGTTTCTTCTTATCAGCGGGTGATTGTCCGAGTGGTAACGTCGGCGAATTGTAATTTTTGCGTCTATGGTCGAGAGTTCGAATCCTACTTAAGGTTTTTATTTTTTTTTACAATTTTCATTTCATATTTATAACTGCATGAGTTAATAATATTAAAATTAATTTAAATTTTAAATTGATTTTATATTTTTTATTAAATTCTATAATAAAGTCCCCTTTTACGTGTATATAAATTTGATGTGATACCAGAAAAATTGATGTAAAACATTATAATTTCATATTAATAACAACAGTAATAAGAGTGAAAAAAATATAATTTCTTTGCATATAAACGCTAATATAAGTTCTACAATTGACTGGATGATACTTATCGCAAAAACCAGATAAACATAAAAATAGCTTGCAGCTTATTTCTCCACACAGGTAAAGTTGTTTATTTAGAAAATAGAAAATTGTTGTCAAATCAGACAACAAGAAAAACAATTAACTAAAAAGAAAAAAACATTCGAGATACATTCTCTGATTAATCATCAGTTATCTGTGTATATTTTTAAAAAAATGATCCAATACGATTGGTTTGCAAGCAAATTGGCAAGTATTAGAATTTTTTAAGAAACCATCGCTAGTGCAAAATCTTTATGCAACACTGCCTAAATTTTTGAAATGTCCTCACTGAAAAATTTATTTTTTTGTTTGTTGTATTTTTAAGTATCATCCAGTCAATTGTAGAACTTATATTAGCGTTTATATGCAAAGAAATTATATTTTTTTCACTCTTATTACTGTTGTTATTAATATGAAATTATAATGTTTTACATCAATTTTTCTGGTATCACATCAAATTTATATACACGTAAAAGGGGACTTTATTATAGAATTTAATAAAAAATATTAAATCAATTTAAAATTTAAATTAATTTTAATATTATTAACTCATGCAGTTATAAATATGAAATGAAAATTGTAAAAAAAAATAAAAACCTTAAGTAGGATTCGAACTCTCGACCATAGACGCAAAAATTACAATTCGCCGACGTTACCACTCGGACAATCACCCGCTGATAAGAAGAAACGCTCCATGCTATGTGTACCGATAGTGTACAGTGCGCTGCTTAAATGCAAATTTTAATTAATAATTATAATTAAACCGCTTTTCATAGGCCTCTAATATTTTACCAGAGTCAGTTTGGGCATGAAATCTACCATTGTGCCAAATTTCATCAAAATCCCAGACGAGCAATGCGCGGGTTCTCCTTGTCAGTCAAAAACGACAAGACTAAAATTGAATGGAATGACAATTCATTATCAGCATTCAGCAAGCTGAAGGAAGCTCTAGCAAATACAACTCTTCTTCATTTTCCTTCAAGTATAGCAAATATTAATTTAATTACAGATGCATCTACAACAGCCATTGGAGCAACTCTGGAGCAGGAAGAAAATGGTGCATGGCACCCTATAGGTTTCTTTTCCAGAAAGCTCACAGCTACTGAACAGCGATATTCAACCTACGATCGGGAACTACTAGCCATCTTTGCGGCTTTAAAGTATTTTGAATATCTGCTAGAGGGAAGGCACTTTATAATTAAGACAGACCACAAGCCAATCACACACGCATTTCAACAAAAACTGGAGAAAGCATCAGATCGTCAGCGACGGCAGCTAGAATACATATCACAGTTTTCGACTGATATTATATATGTGAAGGGTGATCAGAACGTTGTTGCTGATGCGTTGTCCAGGATCAATGCCATCAAAGCTAACCGAAGAGGAAATTTCGCAAGAACAGAGCAAGGACGTTGAAATGCAAACTATATTGAACGGCAACACATCTAATAATCTTCAAAAATTGACATTAGGGGGCTATCCAGTTTATTGCAACAGGCAAGATAATTGTGTGAAGCCCTACCTTCCACAAAGTCTTCGCAGAATTGCTTTTGACATTGTACATGGAAATGCACACCCAAGCATAAGGATTACTTCAAGGGAGTTGCGAAGAAGGTATGTGTGGCCTGGGATTGGTAAAGACGTCACCATGTGGGCACGTCAATGCATTCCTTGCCAAAAATCCAAAATACACAAACATAATCACCTCATCCTATCCATATTCCTATTCCTGAAAACAGATTTTCGCATATTCACATTGACATAATCAAATTACCTAATGTTAATGGATATCCTTATTGCCTAACAATCATCGACAGATTTACAAGGTGGCCAGAAGCTGTTCCTCTAAAGAACATTTCTGCAGACACGATTGTCCAAGCCCTATTTGCAAACTGGATATCAAGATTTGGTACACCATGTGTGATAACATCCGACCAAGGATGCCAGTTTGAATCAGCTATATTCAAATCATTAATGGATGCAATAGGTGCTAAGAAAATACGGACAACGGCATATCACCCTCAGTCCAATGGTCTGGTTGAACGCTGGCATAGAACCCTGAAAACAGCTTTAATGTGCTCTCCTGAGCCTTGGATCGAAGTATTACCTGTAGTCTTACTAGGTTTACGTTCTTCATACAAAGAAGACCTTGAAGCATCTCCTGCTGAGATAACCACAACAGGTCCACCATTAGCTTCCAGATTCAGGAAGATCTTCGGAGAAAAGGCTGTTGCAGCCAGGTCCGAGATACAAGATCTCCTGAATAGGGGCATTTTGAGGCCTTCCAACAGTCCATGGGCAAGCCCTATTCACATGGTTCCTAAAAAGAATGGCACATTCAGAATGTGTGGAGACTACAGGAGGCTGAACGCAAACACGTTGCCCGACAGGTATCCTCCACCATTAATACAAGATGTTTTCAATAATCTTCATCAGAAAGCAGTATTTTCTACAATAGATTTAGAAAAAGCTTACCACCAAGTACACATGCATGAAGAGGATATACAAAAGACTGCAATTATCACACCATGGGGACTCTTCGAGTATCTACGTATGCCATTTGGACTCAAAAACGCTGCCCAGACATTCCAGAGGTTTATCAATCACATATTCCAAGATTTCAATTTTGTTTACATTTATATAGACGACATCCTGGTCATGTCGACTGATATGAATGAGCACCGTAGTCATCTTCAATTGGTTTTTGAGAAGCTACAGGAATATTCACTCACAATCAACTTAGAGAAATGCGCCTTTGGAAAAGATGAAGTTAACTTCCTCGGGTACAAACTGAGTGCTGCAGGATATTCTCCTTCACCAGACCGAGTAGAGAAAATTATTAATTATCCAAAACCTTCGACAGTTATAGAACTCAGAAGATTTTTGGGCATGGTAAACTATTATCGTAAATCAATACCCAAAGCAGCAAATATACAAGCACCACTTTATGAGTATGTGAAGTCCTCACAAGGAGAACCCGCGCATTGCTCGTCTGGGATTTTGATAAAATTTGGCACAATGGTAGATTTCATGCCCAAACTGACTCTGGTAAAATATTAGAGGCCTATGAAAAGCGGTTTAATTATAAATATTAATTAAAATTTGCATTTAAGCAGCGCACTGTACACTATCGGTACACATAGCATGGAGCGTTTCTTCTTATCAGCGGGTGATTGTCCGAGTGGTAACGTCGGCGAATTGTAATTTTTGCGTCTATGGTCGAGAGTTCGAATCCTACTTAAGGTTTTTATTTTTTTTTACAATTTTCATTTCATATTTATAACTGCATGAGTTAATAATATTAAAATTAATTTAAATTTTAAATTGATTTTATATTTTTTATTAAATTCTATAATAAAGTCCCCTTTTACGTGTATATAAATTTGATGTGATACCAGAAAAATTGATGTAAAACATTATAATTTCATATTAATAACAACAGTAATAAGAGTGAAAAAAATATAATTTCTTTGCATATAAACGCTAATATAAGTTCTACAATTGACTGGATGATACTTAAAAATACAACAAACAAAAAAATAAATTTTTCAGTGAGGACATTTCAAAAATTTAGGCAGTGTTGCATAAAGATTTTGCACTAGCGATGGTTTCTTAAAAAATTCTAATACTTGCCAATTTGCTTGCAAACCAATCGTATTGGATCATTTTTTTAAAAATATACACAGATAACTGATGATTAATCAGAGAATGTATCTCGAATGTTTTTTTCTTTTTAGTTAATTGTTTTTCTTGTTGTCTGATTTGACAACAATTTTCTATTTTCTAAATAAACAACTTTACCTGTGTGGAGAAATAAGCTGCAAGCTATTTTTATGTTTATCTGGTTTTTGCGATAAGTATCATCCAGTCAATTGTAGAACTTATATTAGCGTTTATATGCAAAGAAATTATATTTTTTTCACTCTTATTACTGTTGTTATTAATATGAAATTATAATGTTTTACATCAATTTTTCTGGTATCACATCAAATTTATATACACGTAAAAGGGGACTTTATTATAGAATTTAATAAAAAATATAAAATCAATTTAAAATTTAAATTAATTTTAATATTATTAACTCATGCAGTTATAAATATGAAATGAAAATTGTAAAAAAAAATAAAAACCTTAAGTAGGATTCGAACTCTCGACCATAGACGCAAAAATTACAATTCGCCGACGTTACCACTCGGACAATCACCCGCTGATAAGAAGAAACGCTCCATGCTATGTGTACCGATAGTGTACAGTGCGCTGCTTAAATGCAAATTTTAATTAATATTTATAATTAAACCGCTTTTCATAGGCCTCTAATATTTTACCAGAGTCAGTTTGGGCATGAAATCTACCATTGTGCCAAATTTCATCAAAATCCCAGACGAGCAATGCGCGGGTTCTCCTTGTCAGTCAAAAACGACAAGACTAAAATTGAATGGAATGACAATTCATTATCAGCATTCAGCAAGCTGAAGGAAGCTCTAGCAAATACAACTCTTCTTCATTTTCCTTCAAGTATAGCAAATATTAATTTAATTACAGATGCATCTACAACAGCCATTGGAGCAACTCTGGAGCAGGAAGAAAATGGTGCATGGCACCCTATAGGTTTCTTTTCCAGAAAGCTCACAGCTACTGAACAGCGATATTCAACCTACGATCGGGAACTACTAGCCATCTTTGCGGCTTTAAAGTATTTTGAATATCTGCTAGAGGGAAGGCACTTTATAATTAAGACAGACCACAAGCCAATCACACACGCATTTCAACAAAAACTGGAGAAAGCATCAGATCGTCAGCTACGGCAGCTAGAATACATATCACAGTTTTCGACTGATATTATATATGTGAAGGGTGATCAGAACGTTGTTGCTGATGCGTTGTCCAGGATCAATGCCATTCAAATGCCATCAAAGCTAACCGAAGAGGAAATTTCGCAAGAACAGAGCAAGGACGTTGAAATGCAAACTATATTGAACGGCAACACATCTATTAATCTTCAAAAATTGACATTAGGGGGCTATCCAGTTTATTGCAACAGGCAAGATAATTGTGTGAAGCCCTACCTTCCACAAAGTCTTCGCAGAATTGCTTTTGACATTGTACATGGAAATGCACACCCAAGCATAAGGATTACTTCAAGGGAGTTGCGAAGAAGGTATGTGTGGCCTGGGATTGGTAAAGACGTCACCATGTGGGCACGTCAATGCATTCCTTGCCAAAAATCCAAAATACACAAACATAATCACCTCACTCCTATCCATATTCCTATTCCTGAAAACAGATTTTCGCATATTCACATTGACATAATCAAATTACCTAATGTTAATGGATATCCTTATTGCCTAACAATCATCGACAGATTTACAAGGTGGCCAGAAGCTGTTCCTCTAAAGAACATTTCTGCAGACACGATTGTCCAAGCCCTATTTGCAAACTGGATATCAAGATTTGGTACACCATGTGTGATAACATCCGACCAAGGATGCCAGTTTGAATCAGCTATATTCAAATCATTAATGGATGCAATAGGTGCTAAGAAAATACGGACAACGGCATATCACCCTCAGTCCAATGGTCTGGTTGAACGCTGGCATAGAACCCTGAAAACAGCTTTAATGTGCTCTCCTGAGCCTTGGATCGAAGTATTACCTGTAGTCTTACTAGGTTTACGTTCTTCATACAAAGAAGACCTTGAAGCATCTCCTGCTGAGATGGTTTATGGAACCACATTAAGACTACCAGGCGAGTTTTTCACAACTAAAGAACTGTCATCCGAGCCACAAGCATTTCTGGACTACCACAGAAGAATAATGCGGGATATTAAACCTACAGCCACAGCTCATCATAATAAAGCTAATATGTTTGTGCTCAAGGATATGAATACATGCACTCATGTTTTTGTCAGGGCAGACCATATTAGAAAACCACTTGAGCCTCCATATAGTGGACCATATGAAATTATAGAAAGAATTTCAGACAAAGTGTTCAAAATTTCTATGGATGGTACTGATAAGAACATATCGGTTGACAGATTAAAACCAGCATATACAGTTAAAATAGATAATAGTCAACCAAGCTCATCTCAAGAATTTAAATCACATAACTTGGAGTTATCGATTGACCCTCCAAAAAAGATGAAACCTAAAAAAGTCTCCTTCAAATTTTAATAATCAAATTCATTTATTTCTACCGGATACTTCTTTTTCTTTTGAAGGGGAGTGATATAGCGGAATCAACACGCTCACATATGACACATGTCAGTTGATTTACGCAAATGGAATTATATATCAAGCAAGCTTAGCGATCTGATTGTTTTTATAAGATGGATTATTATGGTCGCGCTTTTTAAAACGATCAAAAAAATATTGTATCGAGTTTTTTGCCAACGAGCGTTTTCTCTTGATCGAAATTTAGATTTGATGTAATGTAATATCAACATCTTTATCAATTGAGACATTAATAAACAATCATTATCGAGTTGAAATAAAATTATTGCGATTTCATTCAAGAATTAATTAATTAATAATATATGGCCCACTAGCGCCATATATATATATATATATATATATATATATATATATATATATAAATAAGTCGGGTTTTCCTGCCTGACGAAATAACTCCAGAACGCACAACCGATTTCGACAATTTTGCATTCGTTGCAAAGGTTGGCTAAGAAAATTAGTTGTGCATGGCATGGCATCGTGCCTTAATGCAAGCTGCTGGAACTTCACGCACCGTAATTAAAAATTCGAGTAATAAAAATAATCAATAATTGTTTTAAATAATTTCAAATAGATTATTTTTTACATATATAAAAATAAGTCGGGTTTTCTTGCCTGACGAAATAACTCCAGAACGCACGAACCGATTTCGACAATTTTGCATTCGTTGGAAAGGTCTCGGGCTCCGCAAGGTTTATAGCTAAGAAAATTAGTTGTGCATGGCATCGTGCCTTAATGCAAGCTGCTGGAACTTCACGCACCGTAATTAAAAATTTGAGTAATGACATTAGGAGAATTATCAGAATTATGCTTGGTTAAGTCAACGAGCAATCCTTGCCGCAAAGAATAATGATGTACATGCACTGAATTTCACCATTCAATCAAAAATTGCTGGAGATTTGGTGACATACCAATGATTCCGACTGGTCTTCCGTTTGACTTCAAACGATTCCAATTTCCAGTGCGCCTTGCGTCCGCAATGACAATTAACAAGTCGCAAAGCCAATCGCTTAGTGTTTGCGGGATAAATTTCGAATAGATTATTTAGAAAATCTTTGTTTTACACATGGGCAGTTAGACGTTGCCTGTTCACGAGTTGAAAAAACATCCGCTTTTTTGTGTTAACGTCAGACCAAAAAACAAAAAATGTGGTTTACCAAAGAGCACTTCAATGAAACAGATAATTTGCGGATTCACTTTCATTTACTTAGAGAATTTCAACTTAAAAACACTTCATTTATGTCATCAAAATAAATTCATTACTGTTGTATAACAAAATCTAATTTTCTCTTTTCAAATATAAAACAAACAAAAAAAATTTTCATCTTTCTCACGAAACCAACTGGTAGCGAAACGGAGTTCATCGGGCTTGCTAGTATTATATAATTATTTAATTATAATATTATAATTATTTCTAATTGTTATATAATTATTATATTGTTTTATTTTAATTTTAGATAAACTCTGAACGTTGTGTGACAAATGTCAACTGTAATTGTGTATATAATAAGGTACGTAAGATAATAAACACATAGGTGTATATAATCTGTTCAATAGGAAGTCAAAATGTGGGAATGAGACACCAGCCAGATCAATGAGTTCTTGATCTTTTGTCACTGATGAAAATCAGCAAAGGTTTTTTGATCATTACCGCATTTTTTAATAACAAATTTTTTATTACTAACATGCATTTTTATCGGCCGAGTATCTACAACACTACAACTATTTCTGTTTGACACAAATTATTTGTTATATAATGGTTACAAATAAATGTTTGTGAGTTGACATCAGAGCTTGAGTAAAAATCAACTTGACACTCTTGGTCAACTTTTAGAGATACAATCGGAGGAGAATCACATTCATTTATCACTTCCATTGGTTCTTGTATAGTGAGTTCAGAAGTTGATGGTGGAGGTGTTTTTTTATTTTGCGGGTAATTAAACGCTTGTATCTAAAATATTAAATTATTAACATTGA